TACCAAAGCTCCTGGCTTTGTATATGCTTGGCTTGAGTTGATCTCCCATCGGATCTTTATTGCAAGAATGTTGGCACATACGCCACAGCAGAAGGTGTGGCTGCAGTTTATCTCCTACACAGGAAGCCTGTAACTACCGGGGGCTTGCTAGCACTGTTTGTGTCCATTTCCACTAGTTACTTAGTAGTAGTTTAATTTCTTCAAGTGTGTTACTTGGTAATTACTAAATGTCCAGTCGCAGCATATAAAGAGGCATATCAAGTACTTGACTACACCGAAAGGCTTTCTTGGGTGACCAGATATGCTTCTCTAGCTTTGTTATGGACCGTCTCTTTTGGTCTCTTACTGCTTTGCATTGTTAACAATACTTAATATGAGAAGTTTCTCATTTTGCAATTAAATGGTAAAAGACTACTACATATAGTACCTTCATTTGGCCCTTGAGACCAGAAAGAAATGTAACTACTATGTGTTGAAGTAAACTGGGCAAGAAAGTGAAATAATGACTTAATGAACTTGGTTTTGTCCTGTGGTTTCCATATGCAAACCATGGCACACAGATACATGCATGGTGTGCACACAAGAAGATGAAATGTAATTGGTATGGTTGGGACATACACAGTAAGCAGGCCACTTTTGGCTGAAAGTATAGAATTGATGCTATCAATTCAGCAAGGTTATTTACTAGGAGTTGGGAATAAGAAAAGAAATAGTTGAGATCCAGGACTTGAAAGAAGGAATTATGGAAACCAGCCTGCAATTGATTTGGTATTTTATCTGAAATTAAATTTCCTCAAGGTGGTCTCCTTTCTCTTAGGTTTTGTTTTGTTTGTTTGTTTGTTTTTCGAGACAGAAAACTCTGTGAAGTTTTCGAGACAGAAACTCTGTGTAGTTTTGGTGCCTGTCCTGGATCTCGCTCTGTAGACAAGGCTGGCCTCAAACTCAAAGAGATTCGCCTGACTCTGCCTCCCAAGTGCTGGGATTAAAGGCGTGTGCCTCCACAGCCCGACTCTCTTAGTTTTCTTACAGGCACAAAGATAAATACGTCCCACAGTCTCTGGGATCCTCTTATTCCAGAAAACATCATCCACTACCTTAATACTTAGTCTTTTTATTTTGTTGAATGTTTGTGTTCCTGTGTATGAGATTTAGAGACATGTGTTCCCCACCACACTGAGCTAATACTATGAGAGGCTCTGACATTTAGCACAGTGTAGTGACTTGGGCAACTTTTTGATAGCTGAACAACTTCTACATACATGTCACTACAACTCATACACATTTCTTTCTTTTAGGGGTGGCCTATGTATGCACAGCTGTTGATTGATTTATTCAAGTATTTAGCACCTTTCCTTAGAAATGTGGAACTCACTAAACCTATGCAAATCCTCTACAAGGTAATTTTTGTTTACAAATAACTGATTTTTTTTTTTTAATGTGGTCTGTTGTTATTAAGCTTTTACAGTAACACAGGATGCTCAGAGGCCCTATGTAAGAATACTCCAGTGTTAGAAGTGCCTCTCCCAGTTTAAGGTTTGGGTGGAAAGTTGATTTTCCCCCATCCTTTATATAAATCTCCTCTGCCCCCCCCCCCAACCTCCAACCAGTTTAGTAATTGGTACAATCTCACTGGGAATTTAACTTTTATTTCCTTAATGTTTTTTATGTTTGTTTGTTTGTTTGTTTGTTTGTTTAACATTTTTCCTTAGATTTATGTGTATGACTTTTGCATTCATGCATGTATATGCAGCATGTGTGTTCCTGGGGCTCAAGGAATGCAGAAGAGGATGTTGGGAGCCCCTGGACTGGTGTAACAGATGGTTGTGAGCCACCATGTGGGTGCTGGGAATCAAACCCTGGTTCTCTGCAAGAGTAGCAGGTGTTCTTAACTGCTGAGCCATCTCTCCAGAGATGCTTATTTCTTGAGGCAGTCCTGTCTCTCCTGCTGGAATTAAAGGCATGTACCACCTGATGACTTTCTTAATGAGATTTTCGTGTATGAATGAACCCTTTCTGTGATGTTCCTTCCAGTAGTTTGCCCGTGTTCCCCTGGGATTGTTCGCATTTTGAAGTTTTAATTACTTTTCTGTGGCACTGAGGATCAAACTTAGGGCCTTCTTACACATAGTAGGCTATCTCAGGTTGCTAAGGGGTTCTTGCCACCTGTGTATCAGAATTGTTGAATTTCCTAAACTTCTCGAGAACTAGCAAAAGCTAGCTTTGCTCTCACCCCATTTTCAGGTGGTGTATGTCCCATCCCCACTCCCTTTAAACTTGGCTAGATTTTGTTCTCTTTCCAGCTTCTGAGGATAGATGCTGCATCGTTGTATTGTTGTGCAGAATGTATTGTTGCACTTTATTTAAGGCTCCAGCTCCCAAAGCTAATTTTTCATGGTTTCAGTTTCTACTTATAATTATTTTTATAATCTTAACTATATTTGTTGATTAAAGTCTATAGATTTTTTGTTTGTTTTTGTTTTTGTTACTAACATGCACTTTTGGCTTTTTTGACCTGAGTTAAAATTCATGATAGAGGAAAAAATACTGCTTTCTTAGTGTGGAACATTTTTCCTTTTTATGTAGGGTACTCTAAGAGTGCTGCTAGTTCTTTTGCATGATTTCCCAGAGTTCCTTTGTGATTACCATTATGGGTTCTGTGATGTGATCCCTCCTAAT